AAGAGTAGGGTGGGTCCGTCTAAAACCATTCACCTTAGAGCCATGCATGATTTCCTTCTTACTAAAATTTTATCTCAAGTCTTCTTTAGAATTACTCATCACTTCCCCTTTTCTCTTATTCTTTCTTTTTTCATTCTCTTTTTTCTTCTTGTTCTTCTTCTTCCTTTCTTTCTCTCTCTCTTTTCTTTTTCTTTTTTTGAGACAGGGTTTCTCTGTGTAACAGCCCTGGCTGTTCTGGAACTCACTCTGTAGACCAGGCTGGCCTTGAACCCACTAAGATCCACCTGACTCTGCCTCCTGAGTGCTGGGATTAAAGGTGTGCACCACCACCACCACCACCACCGGGCTCTTTTCTTTTAGTCTTTGCTTTCACACTTCCTTCTTTTTAATTTCTTCTTAAAAAAATCAAAAATAAGATTTTGTTAGATAGCCTTGACTGGCCTTGAACTTATAGTCTTCCTACCTCAGTGAGTGCTGGGATTGTGGGTTGTGTCTGTATGTGACTAATCCTGGATTAGCACTTCCACCTTCAATTATATTTTCTTGAAATGTTACAGTCCTGGCAACCATTTGTTCTACCTTTTGGGTCAATTCCTATTTTTTTTTTCATCTTGTAAACTTTTCTGCTCAGTGGGGTTACCCAGTGTTCTCCACATGTTCTCTCTTCTCACTGCGTGTGTGCTTCCTGGGTGATTTTACGAATCTGATGACTTCAGCTGCTGCCCAAATGCATCTGACCCCCAAATCTTTATCTCTAGCCTCAGCTGAGCTCCTTTGTTCCTGTACTGCATTTCTGAGTTTTGATTAGCAGCCTTCAGATGTCCTCCTGGCAGCTTAAGTTGGGTCTGAGTTATCTTCTCTAGTTTCCTTCCCTTCATTTTAAAATTTCAGTCAACCACGAAGATGTTTTGACTTACAAGTCTATTCTTTCTTATCTCCCATATATACTCAGCCACTAATTCCTATGGATTTAATTTTTTTCTTTGTGTGTGTGTGTGTGTGTGTGTGTGTGTGTTTGCATGTTATGTATGAGTTTGGGTACACACATGACATGTTGAATGTATGGAGGCTAGAAGACAATCGAAGGTGTTGATCCGTGCCTTCCACCTTGTTTTAGACAGGTTGGAGAGATGGCCCAGTGCTTAAGAGTGCTTGCTGCTCTTCCAGAGATCCAAGTTTGATCCCCACATCCGGCAACTCATAACCTCCTATAACTTCAGCTCTAGGAAACCTGATGCCCTCTTCTGGCCTCCATAGGTACTCCCATACACATGCTTGTGCACACACACACACACACACACACACACACACACACACACACACAAAAAAAAAATAAATTTAGATAGGGCCTCACTCGGTGTTATATACATTAGGCTAGGTGGCCCACAAACTTCTGGGGACTCCTCTGCCTTTCCTTCATCTCTCTACAGGATGCTGGGGTGGCAGATGTGCATTCCTGCTCCTGGCTTTGTCTTGGTTTCTGGGGATTTAAACTCAAATCTTTATGCTTGTACAGAAGGTACTTCTCCCAGTAAGCCTTGTGGATTACATTTGAGAAATACAAATTCTATTTCTGAAATGTCAATACTCATTGAATCTAACCCCTTTCCTCCATTAAATCTGTATCAGTAAAAAAAAAAAAAAATCAAAGAAGGTCAGGGAGGCATTTACCTAGCTTCATGGAAATCTAGGAAACACAGTTTGTTCTATTTCTGCAGCACAATGAAATTAGGCATGGTGGCACTTGGGAGGCTGAGACAGGAGGATGTTGAGTTGAGGCTACCTTGAGGCTAGCAAAACCCTGTCTCATAAAATTCAAAAAAAAGATAAAGATAGGTACATAGATATTACATACATGTTGAATATCAACCCGCTATAATCTATGATCCAGATATGTAGCTCCCTAAAAGAGGGCATGTTATAGTTTGAATCCAAATGAGATGAAAAGTTTTAGTTGTAGTTTACCATTGCAAATAAAAAATGGAAACAATAAAAAAGTCACTACCTCAGAGAAGCATTTCCTGATCACTCTATCCCCATAGACTTCTTTGTAGTATTAATTGTGCCTTTATTAGTTTATAGATATTGAGATATCTGTCTTGAATCACATATCCTGTGTTCTAGGAATGTAGCAGTGATAAAAATTTTTGTTTTTCTTGAACTTAGAGAAAAGTGGGTGTATCAGTTACTTATCTTGTTATGGTGACAAAATCTGACAAGAAGCAATTTAAGGAAAGAACTGGCTTACAGTTTGAGGGGAGACAGTCTACCATGGTGGGAAGGTGTGGTAGTGGGAATAGGAGGCTGGCTCATCAATGCGGTCAGGAAACAGAGGGCAATGCATGTGTTCAGTTTGCTTTCTCCTCTTCGTCAGTCTGGAAATCCAGCCCATGGAATGATGTCACACAGATTTTGGATGAGTCTCCCCTCCTCAATAATCCTAATCTAGACAGTCTCTCACAGACTTGCCCAGAGATTTTTTTCCATGGTGATTTTAGATTCCATCAAGTTGACAATCAGGAATATGCATCACAGTGGGGGAAACAGGTAAGAAGCTCTACAGAAACAAACAGTGTGCCTGAGGATGTAGCTCAATGGTGCAGTTCTTGCCCAACATTATGGAAACCCTGAGCTGCTTCCTCCATACCATGTAAACTACATAAATAAAATTCATATCCTTGGAGAAAAAAAATAAACACAATGTATTTTCCAGTAGTGGTCAGTGCTGTGAAAAAAACAAAGGCCAAGAATGAATGGGGTGGATGAGGTAAAGGAATCATTTAATTTGATATATCATGGCCTTTTTATAAGGATAAAGTTTTTAGTATGTGAGCCATGAAAACTAGCCATAAAAGAAGAGCAGCCAGCAGGAAGGCCCAAGGTAGTGCAACCTTGTCATGGGCAAAGGTATTATCAGTATTGCTGAAGTATTCCTAGGATTTTTTAGGAGTAATTATCTGTTTGCTTTTTGTTTATCTACTTAGAGGTATTACATACTAGTTTTATTTTGTCCTGGAATTCACTGTGTAACCCAAGTTGGCCTCAAATTCATGGCAGTTCTTCTGCCTTAGCCTCCTAAGTACTAGGATTACAGGCATAAGCCACCAAGCATGGTTTGCATATTTGTTTATTGTCTGTTATTCCTAAGATTCCTGATGACTGGGGTCATGTCCATGATACTCGAGGTCACTTTAGTACTTGCTGAATCATAGTGGCAATTAGGTGTTAGCTAAGTCTATAAATAATTATATGACAATGACTTGTTAAACAAAACTTTTGGTAGGGTTAGTTTTTAAAAAGAGTTATTTATTTATTTTATTTGTATGAGTGTTTTGCCTACATGCTGGGGGACCCTGCAAGTGTCGCAGTCAGCATGGAAATCCCCAGGAGGTGAAGAATGAAACTCAAGTCAGCACTACATTTGTAGATGCTGGGTCAGAACTTCCAGAGTCTGACCTCAGGGTTTATTTCTCTTACACATTTAAACATAGTAAAACTTTGGAAAAAGGTTTCCAGGTGACAATTATTACAACAAAGCTTTCAGCATGGCTACCTAGAAACCCCCTAGCAGGGTAGCAAAGCACCAGTGACCTTTACAATAAGAATTCATTCTATTGGCTAATAAACAGTGCTCAAGGCAAGGGTCTAGGAAAGAAGGATTTGTAATAAGCATGAGGATAGATTCTAATGATGGAAGATGTAAAGTACATGGGGCCTCTTTCGTAATGATGGGTTCTATTCACCGAGAAACTAAGCTCAGAATAAGGACCTAAACAATGCTTAGACTATTGAGGGATTCAGGAAGGCTGGCACCATAGAATAGCAAAAAGATCACCAGGTTGTTAGACAACATTCCCTCCAGTCTTCTTGGTGACCAGGCGACAGTCATTTTTTTTTCCTTTGAAGAAAATAGACCTGTGTGTTTAACAAGTCTGTTTCCTCCAATGCTTTATTTAAACTGTGCCTCCTACAACTTCATGCATTCCTGGTGCTTGCAGAGACCCGAAAAAGGCATCAGATACCCTGGGACTGGAGTTACAGACAGTTGAATTGCCAGGTGGTTTCTGGGAATCTAACTTAGGTTCTCTGTAAGAGCAGTAAGTGCTTTTAACCATGGATCCATCTCTCCAGCTCCATGGGGATTCATTTTTTTTAACAGTTAATTTTTGCTTCTTTCTCCTTCACCTGGCTTTCTTGAGCCAGAATCTCCTATAATCTAGGCTAGGCTTGGAACTGATGCATAACCAAGGCTAGCCTTGAACTTGTGATCTTGTCCACTCTGTCGCCCAAGTTTGGGGATTATAGGTATATGTGCTATTATACCCAGCTAACTTATGTTTTTTTAAAGATGAAAAAGATAATACTCTCTTAAAAGCAGTAGAGGGACATTTTACGGAAGGGTAAGGAAAAGACCAGGAAAAAGGAATGTTGAATATGATCAAAATATGATATGTGCCATACATGGAATTGTCACAGTGAAATCCATTGATATGCATTAGCAATTATAATAAAACCTTATACTATGCCCTATCAAATTATACATTTTGCTCTATATTATAGGCAGGATTCTTTCTTGCATCCTTTCTCCCATGAAAATCTCTATCCCAAGTAATTCAGTGTTCAAATTATTTTCTTGTCTGTCTGAAGGTTCCCCGTGGTTCCAATTGTGGTAAGGTCTGGAGATGTTTTTTTTGTTTTTTGTTTTTTGTTTTTCGAGACAGGGTTTCTCTGTGTAGCTTTGTGCCTTTTCCTGGAACTCACTTGGTAGCCCAGGCTGGCCTCGAACTCACAGAGATTCGCCTGGCTCTGCCTCCCGAGTGCTGCGATTAAAGGCGTGCGCCGCTGCTGCTGCTGCTGCTGCTGCTGCTGCTGCTGCTGCTGCTGCTGCTGCTGCTGCCGCCGCCGCCGCCGCCGCCACCACCACCACCCGGTGTGGAGATGGGTTTTGACATGGACATTTGTCTTCCATTGGTTCACTAAGACTCTTATTTATGAGTTGGTGGTGGTGGCACACACCTTTAGTCCCAGCACTCAGGAGGCAGGGGCAGGCAGATCTCTGTGAGTCTGAGGCCAGCCTGGTCTACATAGTGAGTTCCAGGAAAGCGAGAGCTACATTGAGAAACCATGCCTTAAACAACAAAAAAGACTCATTGTTTTTGTACATAGACATGGAAGTGAACACAGGGAGAGAGAAAAGCAGGATGTAGGGTGGTAATGGGCTATCTTGGTGGTTGCCCATCAGTAGGACCTAGGGAAACAAGTCCACTTGTGAGACAGGAATTGTAAAGGAAGACTAGTGGGGGGGGAGGGGGGAGGGAAGGGGAAGGCAGAAGAACAGAAAAAAAATGAGATGTGATTTGATGAGACCTAGGAGGGGAAGTTAAGACCACAGGGTTTTGTCATGTTAAGCACTGCAGAGACACAGGTGCTGTGGGATGTTGTTCTGTACACTGAATATGTGTTGCTCCCATTGGCTAATAAATAAAGCAGCACCGGCCTATGGCAGGGCAGGATGGAGCCAGGCGAGAAAATCCAAGAGAGACAGTGAGAGAAGAAAGGAGAGTAGGAGGAGACGCCAACTTGCCATCCGAGGAGCAACATGTAATGGGACGCAGGTAAAGCCACAGAACATGGGTCGATACATAGATTAATAGTAGTGGGTTGAGTTAAGTTATGTGAGCTAGATAGCAAGAAGCCTGAGCCACAGGCCACACAGTTTGTAATTAATATTAAGCCTCTGAGTGATTATTTTATAAGTGACTTGCTTCATTTACATGAGAAGTCATCTTCCAGCCCATTCTTCTCAACACCTTGAAACCCAAGATGAAATGCCTGTCCTGTGGCCCCGGAACAGGCTACCTTCACTCTGTCCTGCCTTCATCTGGGGCCATTTTCCCCAATTCAGCATTTATACTTGACCCCAAAGAATGATAAACAGTTCTTTATCAAAAGCTTCAGGTATGAGTCCTGGAATTACACAGATGTTGGTTTGGCAGTGGAATGGGGAGTGGACAAAGGGGTTAGATATCGCTATTGGAGAGTACCTAGTGTGGTCTTTGGTCCTGTCTGAGGGTAGGCAAAGATTCATGGCTTAAGATAGGTGTTGGAAACATAAATGTCTTTAGGGACCAGCTAGATATGACGTGAGTGAAATAGGCCGAAAGGCTGGGGGTCGGGGGAGGTGTGAGGCAGAGAGACAGAGTCCCATTCAGAAGAGGACTCATACTTCTCGGGTAACATGCTTCCAGTGCGACAGAGGCAGCAACTCAGAACCTCCAGGTGAATCGTTCCAGTTCCTCCTGATGCCAATAACAGAACAACTGGGGAGCTAAACACCAGGATGACAAAACCCAGACTCTTTTCTTACAGTGACCTGATTATGCTGCTGAAATCTCAAATTCGGAATCGTCCCCTCTTCTTCCCACTCTCCCCGCACCCTTGGGTGCCACCCTTAGTCTCCGTCTGACCATCTTTAATTTCTTGTTCACAGACCAACAAAACCATTATTAACGCTCCACGCATCCTTTAGTTTTTCACTCACTGGACCAATATCCAATGCAAAGAATCCCCCACCCCTGACGGGCTCTCTAACAAGCCCAAGCATTGCAAACATGTGTCAGAAGGTCTTGCTCTCCTCCCTTGCTAAACCGTTAGATTACATTGCTAAAGCTAGCCCTTAAGCTCCATTCCCTTATTTGGCCAATTCCTTATGCCTGACTAAAACTCCAAGGTCCAACTATCAAACCATCAAGGTCCAGCAACCATAAGTATTATTTGGCTACACTGGCTAATGTGTCCAGTCAGGACTTACTAACTCATCTTAGCACAGACTTTCCCTTTCCTCCTTAAAAATACTCCTGTAAAAACACCTGCTGCTGTCTTTGTCCAATCCAGAGGCAGCCCCCACGCTCCAACCTGTTTGTCCCTCTGGGGGTTAATAAATCTCCTTTGTGCTGAGAATTTGGTGTCTGGGTGTGTTCTGGGCTGACTCTGAGGCCCCTTCAACTCCCATCCTAAAGAAATCACAGAACTCCGCAGCAAGACGCCAATCTGTCCCACTTCTCTTTGGTCTGTTGTCCCTTTCAATGATACTTTCATTTTCTCCAGACTTTCTCTCTACCTTACACATTACTAATCAAACCACCCTGGTATAATGGCTCTTAGCCCACTGGCGTCTCATCACCTCACCTAAGAAGCTTTTGGAAATGCAAATGACAGCGCTCAATCTCCAGAGACACTGATTTCATTAGTTTAAGCTGGGGCTGAGGCGACAGCATTGTTTAATTCCCCCAAGTGACTATAGCGTTCTTCCTAGGAAAAAAGAGAACATTCACTTTTGCCTACAGAGTAGATGAGGGTAATCTGAGAACAAATTAATCTTCCCAGTGAGGTGGTGTGTGTCCTCCACTGCCTTAAAAGAAGATGGATAGTGTATTTGTGGATTTGGGAACCTAAACTACAGTAGACACAGGCACCCTCTTCCCTCACTCACATTCTATAGCATCACCCATCTGCCTACTACCCTCAGAGCCAGGGGATAAGGAGAGAAGAGAAGACAATGATGAATAAGGAAGAAAGGGGGTGAGAGAGTGGGGTGTGAGTATTGTGGGGGCAGGAGGTGAAAGTCATGTACTAAGAAATGCTGGGTGCGTAGGTCAGTGTGTGTGTGTGTGTGTGTGTGTTTCCACTGTATTTAATTAGGGTTATTGAATGAGCCGAGGTTGAGACTATCCATGAATGTACCTGTGTGGATACACCACTGAAGGGTAGGACTCCCCCTCCCCCTATGACCTCTAACTGCCAGTAGCTGCTCAGGGAGGGCTGAAAACACTATTTTTCATAGGAACTTAGTGACCAATGAACTTGTCTTCCCTGTTTCCAAATGCATGGTTCGTGTTGTGTGAACCGGACACCTGGGTCTTAAGGTATTTGCCTTCAGGACAGTGGGTTAGTTACAGTTCGTTAAAGCCACCTATTTCCTACAAGAAAGGAAAAGGATGGGTTATATTCTGAGTTCTATGTGGTCTTCAGGCCTAGAAAGGGGATCTAATCAAGTGCTATTGACTGATCTGAAGAAGGACAGAGTTGGAGAAAAAAAATCAAGAGTTTGATTAAGAAATACTTTGATACACATACTAGAATGTAAGTGGAGACATCAAGAAGGCAGTTGATTCAAGCAGGGAGGCCAGGGGTAAAGACATTATTTTATGATCGGTTAGCATATAAAGTGGAGTTAAGACAATGGGAACAATCACATCAGAAAAGAACAGGGAGATGGAGGTGACCTGAGTGACCTGAGTCTGAGCTCTGGCTCCCAGCTCCCTCTGTGGGTCCTGACTGACAAAGGCTGGAGAGGCAGCTCACCCGGGAGACTGACAAAGGCTGGAGAGGCAGGGAAGCTAAGGGGATGCAGCATCGCAGCATCGCGGAGGCCAGTAGGAGAGACTTGGCTTCCACAAGTGTGCTGAAGGTTCGTAAGGAGGAAAGAAATGCTGGAATTAGGAAGTCTCTCATTTTATTACTTGGTCCACCATGAAACAAAAACTCAGTTTTTCTCACACAGTTTCTTTGCCTGTTAGATACAAGTAGAGATGTTCCTAATTTTTATTTCGGTTGCCATCCTTGACCCTTGCCAGTGCAGTCTAGACTAGCGTCTGGTCAATTTCCTGGTTCTGGATAGATGGACCGTCCTTTTCAAAACATAGGCCTAAGTCTGTTAGCTGGTTTGGGCACTCGATCTGTGGATGTGGAATATATTTTTCTTTTTTCTCTCCTCTCCTCTCCTCTCCTCTCCTCTCCTCTCCTCTCCTCTCCTCTCCTCTCCTCT